AGGCGGGAGCTGACCTGTGTGGGTGCGAGCGTGCCGCTGGAGCTCGTCACTCCGCGTGAACCTCTTTCCACAGAAGAACCAGTTACAGACGAACGGCCGCTCCCCGGTGTGCAGGCGCACATGGGCCCGCAGCAAGGACGTCTTCCGGAAAGTCTTGCCGCAGTCTGGGATGTGGCACACGTGCTTCTTTTTGCCTTGCTCTCCAGACCTGAGAATTGGATTAAGGGTGGGGTGGAGGGAATGGGAAGAAGGGAAGGAGGTGGACAGAAATAAGATAGAGCAAGGTTGTAGGCACAGAAAAGACAAAAACAAACAAAAAAAATAATGCTAAAGGTGTAGCTCAGTGGTAAAATCCCCTTGGTTCAATACTCAGTACTGGGGGAAAAAAGACAAACTAAGTGTAAGCCCTGGGCACCCCTGGAGGGGCTTGGGGAACAGGGCACATGCCAGGATGCTGGTGTGGCCAAACCCTTGGATTACCTCTTCTCCCCATCCTTGCAGTTGGGACATGTGCAGGCCATGCGGCGCCGCTTCTCCCCAGGCTGGGCCTCTCCGGCCAGGGCCTGCTCCATCTGCAGCTGTATCTGGGTGGGGCTTAGCCCACTGATGGTCAGGTTGTTTCCAGAAACATTCTGCACCGTCAGCTGTTGCTGCCCTGTGGTAAAGAGAAGGCCACAGTTCACAGAGAGAAAGCCTGAAACCTTGAGTCAAAAATTCTTCCTTTCTGCACAAAAAGGATAATCACTGCAGCTGCTATTTTTGAGAACCTGTTAGAGACCTCAGATAAACTTATAACAGATASTATTATCCTCAATTTAGAGGAGACCAAATTAAATAACATATCAAGGTCACATGGCTAATAGATGGTAGAACCGGATGTGAACCCAGGTTCAGAGTCAATGCCCTGAACCATCATACTTCATTCATTTTATTTTATCTCCCCTCTACTCACCTCATATTTTTATTTTCTTATTATTTTATTTTTATGTGTATTTATTTTTTGCATTACTATGGATTAAACCCTGTATGTCACACATGCTGAGCAAGAGTTTTACCACTGAGCTACACCCCAGCCCAGCCTAAAAAAATTTAAAAATTTTTCTTGGTACCAGGGTTAAACCCAGGGGTGCTTAACCACTAGCCACATCCAAGCCCTTTATTTGTGTGTGTGTGTGTGTGTGTGTGTGTGTGTGTGTGTGTGTGTATTTATTTATTTTTTTGAGACAGTGCCTCACTAAGTTGTTGAGGCTGTTTTTGAACTTGTGATACTCCTGCCTCAACCTCCTGAGCTGCTGGGATTACTGGTTTGTGCCACCACACCTAGCATTCCAGCCCTTTTAAATTTTGAGACAAGATGTAAGTTGCCCAGGCTGGTCTCAAACTTGCAATCTTTCTACCTCAGTCTTAGAGTAGCTAGAACTGCAGGCATATGCCATTGTACCAAACTCAAAATGCACTTTAAGATGTTGCCTACATGAACCAGGTGGATGGAGCAGGTGCATAATCCCAGCCACTTGGGAGACTGAGGCAGGAGGTTGCCAAGTTTGAGGCCAGCCTCAGCAACTTAGTGAGACCCTGTCTCAAAATTTAAGATAAAGCTCCACTGGGTTCAATCCCATGTGCAACCAAAAAAAAAGTTAAAGACATCACCTACATGATTCCAGTTACAAAGGGTCWTACCTGGCATTGTCTTGGAGCATTCTTCCTGAATTTCCTCTACCTTAGGCCCTTGTTGACTCTACTTTTAGGATAAAAGTCTCTAGGGACTTTTGTTAGTAAGAGAAGATAGTTCTATGGGCTCTGGGAAAAATCAAGTCCTCTAGGATACCTTGTCTTCTCTTTTGGGGTTCCCTCAAATGGGAAAACCAAATGCATAAAGTGCTGTAAATTCAATAAGGATGAAGAGGTGAGCCAGGAATAGTGGTGCACATCTGTAATCCCAGCTATTTGGGAGGCTGAGGCAGGAGGATCACAAGGTTGAGGACAGCTGGCCTAATTTAATTTAGACCCTGTCTCAAACATTTAAAAGAATAATAAAAAGCTGGGAATGTAGCTCAGTGGTAGAGTGCCCCTGGGTTCAATACTTAGCATCCCCCACAAGAAGATGATGAAGAGAGGAGATTCAGAGCTCCTGCTACCTTCCAGTTTTCCCTTCAACCAGATATAGGATGCAAAGAAGCACTTTTGCTAGGTAGCTTCAATTCTTCCTGTGATTATTTCTGAGGCTACTTTCTCAGCATACATACCACCAGTGACCTAAAGTGTAGCACAAGCTTTCTCACCATCCAGGGTTCCTTTCTYGCCCTCAACTTCAATGCCAGCCTTTCTAAGAAGCCTTTGACTTCCTTTACTCAGAATCTCCCCTGAACATATGTCCTCAGTTTGTATCAAATTAATCTGGGTACCCTAGGAAATTTTCCATCAGATTCAAGGTCTGCAGCTGTCAGATGGAGACTGTGTGATTTACTCTATCTCATAGCTCTAGTCTAAGAACCAACTGGGAAGATACACATGGGTGTGCTCTTAGGCTGCAGAGGACCAGGCAAAGAATGGGCAGTATCCCACTGCTGCTACTGGGAATCCCTGGCTGGCCTCCTTCCCACATGCTGGGCACACAGGCCTTGTTGCCAACCACCTGGCTGCAGGCTGTTTCCTCACCGCCAGTGTTGGTGATGGTGACAGGTACGCCCTGGACCTGGACTCCATTGATGTTGATGGTCTGCATGGCCTGGGCAGCCGCAGCCAGCTGTGCAGCATTCAGGCTGATGATGCTCCCGGCAGGTGCAATCTTTGGCAGGGGGCGCTCTTTTCGGAGAATTGCAGCTGAGTGCTTTTTGCTGGTCCCACTCAGATGGGGAGCCCGGGGTGCAGGGCTGCTACACGTGGTGGTTGAGGTGGTTGCAGCTGTAGCTGGGGGGCTGTCCTGGACAAGGACTGTCTGTACTTCACCGGAAGGTGTGCGGATGTAGACCTGGGGGGCCAAAGAGAAAAGTAAGTGCTCTGGGAGAGAGGGCTCCTGCACCTTCRTATCTCCTTGCCCAAGTAAGAACAGGCAGTGCCTCTCTGTCAGCCCAAGTCTCTCTTCCAACAGCCCAAACCTACATTTATACACTGTTGGTGTTCAACAAGGGGCTCCTTGTATTAAGCTAGCAAGGCTGGCTAATGATTTGAAACCAAACTTTTAATTTACTGTGTTAACACAGAAAAATGTCACTGCCAAATCTCAGAGTTGGAGAAATTAGAAGACAGTGACCACCAGACAAAGAAAAACAGATTCATGTTAGTCCTCAAGAGACATGAAAATAAGAAATAATCTTTCTCCAATCCAGACTGGCAAAGATTTAAAAAAGTGTGTGTGTGTGTGTGTGTGTGTGTATATATATATATATATATATTTTTAGACATTATCTATGTCTGTAGACATGTCTATTGATGTGTACTTCCTAGTTGTGTCCACTAAGCAACACCTTTGTAGCAATAAGCTCATGCCAGCACCCAAGCCCTAGCTTCTAAATCAATGCTCCACTAAAGGGAATGGGAGAAGCTGCCATTGTAGCTCAGTGGTAGAGCGCCTGCCTAGCATGTGTGAGGCACTGGGTTTGATCCTCAGTACCACATAAAAAATAAAGGTATTGTGTTCATCCACAACCAAMAAAAWTTTTTTTTAATTTAATAAATAAATAAAGGGAATRAGAACTCCCCAGAGAAAGAGTTAATTCCAGGTTGGGGCAGGGAAGGTACAGAAGAGATCAGGACACTTGTGCTGGGAAGTTGGGAAATGCCCACAGCATGGTGAGGATGGGTGAAAAGCCAGCATGAGGGGCCCCACTGACCAAATCTGGGACAATTTAAACATTGAAATAGTTACATTAATGTATTATAACCCATTGAATAAAACATATAAATGGGATGGAGAATGAGAGAATTAAAAAAATGTTGTCACATCCTCCAGAAGAGGAACCTGGACTCCTAAGAGAAATGTTGATTCTTAGGCTGGAGCTGGGAAGATCAAGGAATGAAGTCCTGATGCTCCAGTGTGGATGAACCTGGAGATTATGTTAAGTGAAAGAAACCAGTCACAAAAGACCTTCTGTTGTAGAATCCATTCATGTGAAATGTCCAGAATAGGCAATGCACAGGCAGGAAATAGACTAGTGGATGTCAGAGGCTGAGGGGGGGGGGGGAATGATAAGTGATGGGGAAGTTAGTGATGAAGGTTGCACAACTCTGTAAATATACTAAAGACCATGCAACTGGACATTTTGAGAGGGTGATTTTATGGTGTGTGAATACTTAAAAAAAGCTGAATTTTAAAAAAAGGATGAGAACATGTCCAAAGGATACAGGATTCAGCATGAAAGAGTTCCCAATGACCAAAACTGGAACAATTTAAGCAAAAAAAGTAGTATTGGCTTATAACCCAAAGTATAAAATATATATGAGTCCATATTGATATAAATAAATGATTGAATAAGTAAATAAATGGGGAAAAGAGACAAATTCAGACTTAGCAACTGATTTCCAAAGAACAAAGGGAAAAGTAACAACTTGCAAAGACAGCTGGCGAACACCACCTTTGGCAGCTTCACCAAGGGACAAGGGCTAACATCACAGGGGGTATCCTGTACCCCTGTTGTAATGTGATAAAATGGGTATTTTGCCTCTGGTATTCATTACAAAACCCCAAAACTTCAGTCTAATAATCATAAAAACATCAGACAAATTTAGACAGGGGACTTTCTACAGGGTACTTGGCCAGTGCCCTTGTCAAGATCATGAAAAACAAAGACAGAAACAATCACTGACAGGGCCTGGGGCGTTGGAGGCCAGCCTGGGAAACTTGGTGAGACCCTGTCTCAAAATGAAAATAACATAAAGGGCTAGGGATGTAGCTCAGTAGACAGTGCCCCTGGGTTCAGGACCTCGTGCCAAAAGTAATAATGATGACAAAGATGTTGTTATAGCTAAATCTTTCTCCATGTGTATGATTATTTCCTCAGGAAGATCTGATTTAAGTCCTGCCTCCAACAGTCTGAAGATGAAGAAAAGATGACTGAGACTGCCGAGGATGTGCATACCACACCTGAGCAGGTATTGCTTCAGTTTTTTGCAGTATTAGGAATTAAACCCAGGAGTGCTCTGTCACTGAGCTATATCATGAGTCCTTTTTATCTTTTGAGATTGCCTACGCTGGCCTCAAACTTATGATCCTCCTGTYTCAGCTTCCCAATTATCTGTGATTACAGGTGTGCATCCAGCAGTTCTTTACCTTTAAAGTAGTTCTGATAATGGGATCTTAGATATTGTGAAATAAACAATGTGTTAAAAAATCACCTGGCAATATATAATGCACCAGAAGGAAATAGAAATTCTAAGGAAGGCCTCAGATTTCCTCTTGTATGACTTCCATGTCCCCAGCTCAAATTCAAAGGCATTTCTTCTCTACCCAGGAGATCACACTGTCACTAATGTAGTCCTCTCTCTATAGCCATTTTTATTTTATTTTTTATTTTTTTGGTACCAGGGATTGAGTCTAGGGGTGCTTAACTACTGAGTCACATCCTCAGCACCACCACCCTTTTTTTTTGAGACAGGGTCTCGCTAAGTCACTTAGAGCCTCACTAAGTTGCTGAGGCTGGCTTTGAATTTGCAATCCTCCTGCCTCAGCCTCCCAAGCTGCTGAGATTACAGGTGTGTGCCACTGTGACCAGCTCTACAGGTATCTGGATTACAAATTCCTCAATGGCAGGAACTAATTTTCTATATTAAAAAAAACAATCCATCATCAATTTTAATGGTAGCACCTACCACACAGAGTCAAGGTGGAGAGTGGAAAAGTGTGGGGTTAAAAGTTAGAAATCTGAGATGAGGACAGGCATGGTGATGCACGCCCATACTCAGCTATTTGAGAGGCTGAGACAGGAAGACTGCCAAGTTCAAAGACAGCTTCACCAACTGAGTGAGATCCTGTCTCAAAATAAAAAATAAAAATATCTAGACCCAGGTGCGTAGCACTTGCCTGTAATCCCAGCACCTCAGGAGGCTGAGGCAGAAGGATCAGAAAGTTCAAAGCCAACTTCAGCAACTTAGTGAGGCCCTAAACAACTCAGTGAGACCCTTTTTCTAAATAAAATATAAAAAAGGTCTAGGGATGTAGCTCAGTGATAGAGCACTCCTACGTTCAATCCCCAGTACTACAAAAATGAAAAGGAGAAAGAAGAACAGAAAAGATCAGAAAACTCTGAATTGAATCCTGGTGCTTGTCACACCTCAAGAAATTTTGGGTACTTTCTAACATCTCTGAGTTCCCAGTTCTCCATCTGCAACACAGGCACAATCTCTGGAAGCATGCACAAAGAGTAAAATTTGCCTCACAGAGCCAAAGAGATTTGGAATAATTGAGCACTTTTTTTTTTTTCTTGGTAGTCCTGGGGTTTAAACCCAGGGGTCCTTGACCACTGAGCCACTGAGAGAGGGTCTTGCTAAGCTTTTTGGGGCCTAAGTTGCTTAGGGCCTCAATAAGTTGCTGAGGCTGGCATGTGCACTGATATGCCTAGCCCTTTTTTATTTTGAGACAAAATCTCGTTCAGTTGTTGAGGCTGGCCTCCAACTTTGGATTCTCCTGCCTCAGCCCCCAAGTAGCTAGAATTGTAGGAGTATGCCTCCACGCTCAGCTTAGACAACCATAATAAATGCAAAAGAAGAAAACATGCTTGTTGAATTCAAAATCCTAGATGAATTTAACCTAAATGTTCCTGCTGAAACTAGACTGCTCCTATTATTATTATTTATTATTTTTTATAATTAACAGTGATTAGCACATTTCTCATTGTTACTTTATATCAAATTCTATGGTTCTGACTAGAAATTTTCATTTTTGCTGTCCTATGTAATTCTATAATAAGAAGTCAGCTTTATTATTAAAAGATATACATTTGTCTCCTACCCATCCCCAAAAATATTCCCCATAAAGAAAAAGGATCAGGGGGCTGGGGTTGTGGCTCAAGTGGTAGAGCGCTTGCCTAGCACCTGTGAGGCACTGGGTTCGATCCTCAGCACCATAAACAAATAAAATAAAGATATTAGAAAAAAGAAAAAGGATCAAAATAAAACTACATTTCATCTACTTTCTACAGATAAGCAGTACTTGGTCCAAGATCTGAAGAAAGTTTGTCAGACAGAAATGGCCACTTCCTGCCCACCCCAAATGCTATTGACTCCAACACCCAGATCAAATCAGGAGATGACCCACCTCTCTTTCAAAAGCAAGCTGAAGGGTAACCAGAGCAGAAAAGGGAGGCAGGGCAGAGGGTGTATGGTACCTGAGTAGGTGTTGACTCAGCCGTCTGGATCTGAAAGTTCTGGGAGGGCTTCTGGGGGACGGTGGGAAGGGTGGCAGATGCAGCCTGCACTACCCGCAGAGCCTGCTGGGGGATCTGCACCACCTGCTGTTGCTCCGTCTTGGGGGGCACCACCTGGACCTGCTGGACCACAGCTGGCTGGCCACCCCCAGGGCTCTGAACAATCAGCAGGTTGTTTCCTGCCTGGATGATGTTGTCTGCCGTGGTCTCAATCAGTACCGTCTCCACCTGCTCAGCCATAGCCACAGATGGCTGAGAGGCAGGAAGGCTCTTCTTCCTGGCTTTCTTGTTAGTCTTAGACAGAGGGATGGGAGGGCTTTCAGTGAGGAGCTGAGTGGCTGCCCCAGTGTCACTGGCGTTCATAAGGTTGTTGACGGGCAGGGTGAGTGTCACGTTGCCACCTCCACCTGTCAGCTTTACCACGTTGGCCCCGCTCTGCACAGGGGTRGTGGTTGCACTTGACTTCTGGACAGGGGCTGGCTTGATGGGGACAGGCTTGTGACTGGACGGTGAAGGGGTGATGATGGCCTGGTTGGTGCCTGGGATGATCTGGATCTGGTTGGTGAGATTGGGCTGCACCTGGATGGTCTGGGAACTGCTTGCCTGAATCTGAGGAACCGCCTGGTACTGGATATTGGCATTTGACCGGTTCCCTTTGTTGATCATGGTGGGGTTCTGAATAGCGAATACCAGCTGCCCTCCAGGATAGGAGGTGCTCAGTTGTGACCCCTGAATCTGAAGTATATTTCCTTTGGAGGATAAGATGCCAAAGCTATTTTTGCCAGGACTCAGAGGAAGTGGGGCAGGTTTGATAGGGACCAGTTTCCGTGGCGTTGGCTGGGGGGGAGCAGGAGGTGTCACAGCAGCTTCAACAGCTGGAGGGCCAATTTTGCTACATGTTGCAGCAAGCAGGGCCAAAGGAGATGGCTGGGAGTCCTGCAAAAACCAGCAGAGGAAAGGAGTGAGACAAGAAGCCTGGGGCTGGCTGCCCATYAGCCCTTCATGATCCTCCTAGGTGGCAGCCCTCTGTGTGCTCTTCCCCGCCTGTGTCACCAGCATCCCTCTGGTTTTTCTGCCAACCAAGTAAGGAAAAGCAGGACAGTCCTTTCTCAGGAATTCCCTAGAAGCAGCCCCTGGGTTCGGTGAACTAGCAGTGTGGGCTGGCCTCACATTTACCAGGGATAATGACGCTCTTTAGTCCCAGAAGGAGTTCTACCACACCATCATAGGGAAGGAGAAATCTCTGACTGTTCCACTGACAAAGGAAGGAAGGGGAAAAGGACAGGCAGCAAAGGGACAAACCCACTGGTGTTTTCTAGTGCTTCCTACATGCAACGTCATGGACTAGGGAAGGCTGCTCTCTTGAAACTGCAATAAAAGGGCCTCTGTTTCATCTATGGCAGTGGTGTCTAGGGAAAGAATACTGAGTTTAATCCTGGCCTTTCCCCCTGATCCAACTGTGGCACCTTAGGTAAGAGGCATGACTTTTTAGTTTAGAGTGTAGATAAGTGAACCTTCCTGGGTCTTATGTCTTAGAGTGTTGAAAGTGACAATGAAAAGGGTTTTGAGTGTGGTTAACATTGGCTTCAATGAGCCCACACGAGCAGCTGAGAACCCCGCCCTCAGAGCCCACTCGCCTGGGTGGTGGCGGCAGCAGGCTGCAGGTAGTCACTGGGACTGACTGCAGCAGTGGCAGCCATGCTCATCTGTGGATCTGCTGGAAGAAAGAGACAAAGTAAGACACAAGACATCTTAGGAAAAGGACCCAAGCCCCCCTGCCTCAGATTTTCTTTTTGCTTCTATTCATTCTTGCTTCTCCAAGAGGAGTTAACAGCCTCTCTCCACATGTCCCTGCCACAGGATGACAGCCCCACACCTTTTAGCAGATGATCTCTGCTCAGGCTCAACTATGCAAGCCTGTGAGGAGCCAGGCCTGCCTCCAGTGCACTGGCCCCTTAACATGAAGACTCTAGACAGTAACTAGTCTGGGCACACCCCATCCCCAACTGGCTCTGCCAAGCTACACAGGAACCCTCTATAGTGGGCAGAGGAGCCCCAGCCAATCAATCTTCTGGCCCTAACTCAGGCTTCCTTCTCACTCCTGCTATAGGCAGATGCCAAACCAGCCCCACGGGTGGATGGATCGGGGTACAAGGCTGGATCAGGGTTTCTGACAAGAAGGACACACCTATTTCATTCCAAATTCATGGGTGCTGTATTCTCGGCCTTTACCACAAAGGCATGAGGGTTCTAGGAATATCACATATGGTTAATTTCTTTAAATAAATTTATATTTTTACACTGGACAGTAGGTATTGGCTCTAAGAACAGGTAAAGCTAATAACAATATACAGAGAAGAATGTAAATAGAGTAAATTCTATTTTTGTCTAAATGTGTGTTTTTATATGTATATATATAAAATGTTATAAGTTGTTATTGCTTGGTAGAATTTTACTTAACAAAGAATTTTTCTCCTTGTTCTGTATTTCCCTATTTTCTCACAGTGATTAGACAACTGGCCTTCTGTATCCACAGATTCAATCAACCACAGATCAAAATGTTAGGAAAAAATACTGTATCTATACTGAATATGTGTAGACATTTTCTTGTCATTATTCCCCAAATAATACAGTGTAACAATTATGTGGTTTTAGGTATTACAAGTAATCAAGAGATGATTTAAAGTATACAGGAGAATGTGTGTATGCTACATGAAAACACTCTGCCAT